AATTAATTCATAACAGCTTTCTATACACTCCATCCAGCATTTTACACACATTACATGACTTACATGAAAAATGTGTTGCTTTATGTTGATTGTTGAATGTTGTATATATGCACATGTATAGGGGTATGCTTGTTGTTGGCGGCCCCTTACCCTTATTGAATTTAATTCAAGGAATAAATTTAATTGCTAACCAATTTATACAGTATAAAGTGGGTTGGGGCAGTTTACGCTTTATAAACCGCGAAGCGCTTTATAAAAAAGCGTAAACTGTTCCGGCCCACTTTATACCGTATAAATTGGGTCGCTATTAATTTCATTCTTATAATTCAATTTTCATTTATTTAGTGTAAGTAAAATAGATGATTGTTCTTAAAAAATGACCTCAAGTTGTACAAAATTTAAATGTAACGTAAGGCGGATCGATACGTTTTTGACGCAAGTCATTGTGACGTAGGCAAACCAATTAATATAAAGTAATTTTTTTATCCAATCAAATGGAGTGTTACAATCAAAATTAAATTATTTGCAATTAATTCATAACAGCCTTCTATGCACACTCTCCAGCATTTTACACACACTATATGAATTTCAACAAGCATTCTGAAAGTATTGCATTAGCAATACTAGTCCCCCACCGGCAAGTGTAATCTGGTTCCCGTAAAAATTGAAAATGCTATAATTCCGTCAAAAATCAATGAAGCGGAATGAAATGCAAAATTGATCTATAACTCATCAAGATAAAGTCACATACTAAAAATCAGCTCAATATCTGCAAGCGTTTAGAAAAAAGTGCGGAAAACCCTGAAAAATTGAAAATGTCGTAATTCCGTCAAAAATCATTGAAGCGGAACGAAATGCAAACTTGATCTCTAACTCATCAAGATACACTCACATACCAAAAATCAGCTCAATATCTGCAAGCTTTTAGAAGAAAAGTGCGGAAAACCAAGTGGGACAGACTGACAGACAGACAGACGGACAGACAGACAGACAGACAGACGGACAGTCTCAGAGGAAACCTATAGTCCCCTCCGGTTTCACCGGTAGGGGACTAAAAAAATGTGTTGCTTAATGTTGATTGTTGTATGTTGTTGGGGCACTCTCGTTGTTGGCGGCCCCTTACCCCTGTTGAAATTGATTTGCAATTAATTCATAACAACCTTCTATCACATTATTCAGCATTTTACACACACTATATGAATAAAAAAATGTGTTGCTTTATGTTGATTGTTGTATGTTGATTATGCGCATACATAGGGACATGCTCGTTGTTGGTGGCCCCTTTCCCCTATTGAATTTGATTTGTAATTAATTCATAACAGCCCTTTATACACTCTAAGCATTTTACACACACTACACGAATTAAAAAAAAAAGATAATGTTGCTTTTTGTTGTTTGTTGAACATGCACATGTATAGGGGCATGCTCGTTGTTGGCTGCCCTTACCCCTATTAAGTTGCTTTGCAATGAATTCATAACACCTTCTATACACTTTATTAGGCATTTTACACTCAGTACATGAATTAAAAAAAATTGTTGCAGTATGTTGAATGTTGTATATGCACAAGTATAGGGGCATGCTCATTGTTGGCAGCCCCTTACCCCTACTGAATGTGATTTGTAATTAATTCATAACAGCCCTTTATAAACTCTAAGCATTTTACACACACTACATGAATAATAGTACTTCTGTGCAACAAGTTTATAACAGCCTTTACACACTCTAAACACTTTACAAAATTAACATTACATATAATATTAAAGTTTTACATATGCCTCATACAATCAAAATTTGAAATACAGCTTTTCAGCTCATTATTATTTAATAACGAATGACTTCGGTAAACTTTTTGCAAATATTCATTCACTTTCTTGTTGGAAGTGTGACACATTCTCCCACTCTCAATAATAGGGTCAGGGTTGTCCTTAGCTAGCATTGTATTTGCACTGTGTAGTTCCAGTTCTGTCAGACTGTCACCCATATGATTATTTATCATTTATTTGTTGCTATCATCAATACAAGTAACAGAATCCGGGTTTATTTGATAAATAGGAGATAAGAATTCTATATTTAAATCTGATGTTTTTCCATATATAAATGAACTACTCATTACAATTTAAACTTCCTCAAGTTTCTTTAATGTCAGTTTTAGTTTATATCATTCAATTATCAAAATAAATGCCCTCTATGATCAATTTCCAAAATCAAGCCTTTTAAATTATTTGGGGTGGGGGTGGGGGTGTCATGTTTTAAAAGTGTAAAATAATACAATAATACATTTAAATGTACTTAAACATATAAATTATAAGTAACAAGTTCTTTTTAAGTCTCTCTATCCTCAATTTAAATTTGACTATTAGTTTATACAAGTAAAAATTAAGAAATTCTAAAGGAATTAGTGGGGATGTCATGCATAAGTTACCTGAATTAATATTTTTGTTAACGCAGGTATGGTAATTTATGCCTTTTCTTTCAATTAATGGCAGTGCTTAGACTTATTTGTTATCCAGTTCTTAAACAGTTTCCATTGCAGCAAAAACAATACAATGATTGAATGATCAAGATTCTTCAAAAAAAAAGGGGGGGGGGGTTGAGTCAAGGAGATAGGATTCCTTGAATTTAGCTTGAGTCAACTTCTCAGTAGAACCTAGCCGTGTCTCCTCTTTTGTAAACAATTAATTCTATTAATTTTTTTTAACATAAAAATCATAATTTAAGGTTCATGGTTCATGACTTCATCTTGATTCATAATTGAGGGTTAAGTTAGGTTGCTATATTTTCTCCAGAGGTTTATTACATAATCTTGATAAGTCTTGGCTTGGGCATGGCTAGTTTGGGTACTTATGCCGCTCTTCCCACCCATATTGTGGCGGAGTTCCCTACCACAATGTTTGTGGTTGGGAACTTGAGGCGTAAACGAGCGGCACTAGGTTATTATCCTATACAGTGATGGAACTTTTTAAAATTCAAAAGTAAACTTTTGATTTAAATATATACATAAATAAGCGCTTGACCTCTGCACCTCCCGGGGTCAAGGCTTTTACCACAAGTGAGATAAAGTTTGTGAACTTTAAACTATGAACTATGAACTTTGAACCTTAATTTGAATATTTAATGATGTCAGTTGTGCTTGTGTTGTAGGGACTGCCCATTGTGACTGGAGGACCATCCATTGTGTTGCCATAGACACCAATATATATAGTAATTCGTGTCTCTGGATATACAGCCGTGCCCATTTATCGCCACAATAAAGTTTTTCTTAATATAATATTTGTGTTTATATATGCACTTATCTGAGATAATATTCACATCTAATTCACATTAGATGATGTTATCGAATGAAGTGCATGACATTAATTTTCCCAATTTGGGTGTACCCAAATCTAAAAATTAATTCTAATGGTTATCATTCTTATAAAATTTGTCGCTCCTTTTAGGATATGCTTTGAGGGCGCTTTAGTTGCAGCTTCCTTTTTCAATTCTGCAGCATCAAAATTGGTCGGTAAATTTTTTTGTCTTGTTATTGTGTATTGTTAACTCGAAACACCCACCCACCACACCCATTTAGAATAGATACTGCTTTTCTTGTTTATTTTATTTTCAGATGGAGAATCATTGCAGAGATCATCTTAATATGACAAGCCTAAACGTTTACTGTACTTCAACACGTAGGACTATGACATTAAAGTATGGGCTTAATGAACAGTTAAGGGGAGCCTCATATTTTAGTTTACAACTCAGAAGACAATATACAAATACTCAGTGTCCCAACGGATGTGTCTTAGGATATGGAAGTGATACGTGATTCATTGAACTAGACTGTGACAGGGTAATCAAGCGCCCTTTCCAGAGAAGACAGTATTTTTCGAACCATACGCAATAATGTAAACTTACAGAATCAGGCTGTCCATATCATTTCTTTTCCAGTTGAGTTATGTGTTAACGAGTGTTAAGAAATAAATAAGTGCTTGACCTCTGCACCTTCCAAAGTTAAGGCTTTTACCATGTTGTGGGATTGTTTGTGAACGTTGACCTTTGAACTATGAGTAAACGAGCGGCACTAGGTTACTTTCTTATATGCGTAAACGAGCAGCACTAGGTTATTATCCTATACAGTGATGTACCTCTTTAAAATTTAAAAGTAAACTTTTGATTCAAATATATACATAAATAGGTGCTTGCAAATTGATCTCTGCACCTCCCGGGGTCAAGGCTTTTACCACAAGTGAGATAAAGTTTGTGAACTTTGAACTATGAACTTTGAACCTTAATTTGAATATTTAATTACGTCAATTGTGCTTGTGTTGTAAGGCCTGCCCATTGTGATTGGCGGCCCATCCATTGTGTTGCTAGAGACACCAATAGTAATTCGTGTCTCTGAATATACAGTCGTGCCCAATTATCGCCACAATAAAGTTTTTCTTTAATATAATATTTGTGTTTATATATGCACTTATCTGAGATAACTATAATATATGTACATTATTTCTCAGAGCACATCCTTTCAAAGTATCATAATTTTATTCAGAAGCAGGTCTGACCTTAGAGACTTCCAGGCCAAAATTCAGTCAAAATCGGTGCTTAAACGTGAAAATAAAGCTGATTAAGGAAACTTTTTGGAAAACAAATTACACAAGAAATCTACCTTAAAATATGAAATATAATTTTTCGAGCTATAAACAATTAATTGGTAAAGAAAAAAAATCAGCTATAATATTTAATGCTATTTTTTACACAACTTATTTTAGTTTATACGGGCCTTTTCTTTTCCATGATGTTTTGAAATAGTATAAAAAAATGGCCATGACCACATAGCCCTCTTAAACCAACTTTGAAGGCTACTTTTAAAATTGAAAACATTCAAACATATAAAGTTGTAATACGTATATAACTAATATTTATATTGAAATGTGACTTTTCTAGATTTTCTTTCTCCTATAGGTTCACCTGAACCTTTGACTCAGGTAAAATAACTAGTAAAAGATCAGTTGAACAGTACCTTGTGTTTTACAAGACTCCTCTTCTTCAGACAATGTTTTACCATTTGAATTGCTTGAAATAACCCTGAAGTAGTAGAGAGTGTCATCATTCAAGCCAGTAATTGTAGCATTCGGTTGTTTATAGGTCTCAATTGTTATTTTCTCATCCTCATTATTAGTTCTGTAGGACACAAAGAATGTCTGTTCTGCTCCACCATCAAAACCTGGTACCCAATTTACAACTGCAGTTCCATGGGAAACCATACAATTTATGGATATGTTGTAAGAAGGGTCTGGTCTTCCTGATAAAAAAGGAATGGTTTATATTTTAATGAATCATTTTTGCATAAAATACTAAAATTAAGAAAGCCAATTCATTGTATTTTATTTTCCTTACATTTAAAAAGTAACACATAACACAAACTTTTTTTCAGAAAGAGCAATACATTTTATAGAGTTTATGTACATGTATGTAATTTGAATAATGTTTGCCATTGTGAAAGCAAAATTCTGTACAATTTTCTAATATGACATAAAATTGTGTGGAAAAATTGAATAGATTAGAAATGTATAGAAAAAGTATAAAGTCGCATATTTAAACAACAAAGAAACCTACGATATCTTATATTTCAGGAAAGTATTTATTTTTTTTATTCATGACATTCCCATTCAATATATATATAGATAGATAGATAGATAGATATAGATATAGATATATATATATATATATATATATATATATGGGACTCCAAAGTCCGATGGTGACGCCAAAGTCCGATGGTCTGCGCCAAATCCCGATGGGTTGACGTCAGTACGGACGCCTAAGTCCGATGGTCACGCGAAAGTCCGATGGCTCGTTTCCTATGATACACGTGTGCTAAAGTGCGATGGTCTGACACGCCAAAGTCCGATGGTGCGGAGAAATAATTGACGTTTATGACGTCACAATATTCCGAAGTCAATCCTCGACGCCATAGTCCGTAATTCAAAACCAATAATTTAGGATGAGTCATCAATTTGACGGATTTTACTTAATGTTTGCACACACCTGAGTTATTAGGATTAGTCCTTGCACACCACTTGGCTGATAAGGGTTAGTCCTTGTGCACAATTACACTGAATATAGGATGGGTTGCACCCACCCAAGAAATTAAGGGTTAATCCGGGTACACTATTCGATTGAATAGTTTTAGTCTCGCACCCCGAAAGAGGGTTGACTGATTAGGGTTAGTTTCTCTCCCATCCAGGATGTTACAGACTTTTTGACGGATTAGGGTTAGCCTTGCACCCATCCAAGAGATTAGAGTCAGCCTCGCACCTATCCGAAATATAGGGTTAGCATCGCACCCATCCGAGAGATTAGGGTTAGCCTCGCACCTATCAAAGAGATTAGGATTAGCCTCGCATCCATCCGAGAGGAAAGGGTTAGCCTCGGAACCACTTAATAAATTACGGCTAGTGGTACAATATATTTTTTGTGTTTTTTAGTGAACCATATTACTTTGGCGTTTAAATACTTAAAATTCATTTAATTTATTTTTAACCGTAAAACCTTGGCGTGGCGCAGCATCGCAATTTGGCGCAGAAGTACTATGACGTCATAAAACAATAATTATTATTCTGCGCCATCGAACTTCGGCGTGTGAACCATCGGGGTTTGGCGCAGACCATCGGACTTTGGCGTGACCATCGGACTTTGGAGTTCCATCGCACTTTGGAGTCCTACATATATATAATATATATCGTCTGTTTTCAAGAAATGAAGTTTTCCCATTTTTTTACGCTTGTTTTTTGTTGAAAATTTAAAAAGATGCTAAGACATATTTCTTGTCATTTTTGTTTTACATACACATTATATTAATAAACTCCTGCCTATAATATTAAGCTTTTGAAAAAAGAATTATATAAGAAATAATCATTTTTGTATTTCTCATTAAAATAATAAAAAATTTTTATTAAAATTACAATTTATCGTACTGAAAGGTGTGGGTTTTTCAAATCCTCCTAATTTGGGTAAATAAATATATAGGACAAGTTTCGTTTGGTGTTCTATACCACCTTAAAATCCAATTTAACACCGCTGGGATCGATTGATTGATTGTATGTTGTTTTACGTCCCATTGGAGAAGTTTTCATTCACATAGAGGCGTCACCAGCTTCAAATTTAGACCTTTACTCGGCACTTAGGGCCAATGAGCAGTGAGGGATCTTTAATATCGTGCCAACGCCTGCCGTGACACGGGACCTCGGTTTTTAAGGTTTCATCCGAAAGACCCGCAGCTTTCACTTCAAAGTGCCGAGCGCCTGGCGAAGGAACAGTTGCTACCTATTTTTTATCGACTTTGGTCAGTTGCGGCCGAGATACGAACTCACAGCCTTCCGATCACGGAGTGAGCGCTCTACCGACTGAGATACCGTGACGGCCCGCTGGGATCGAGGAGACATATTTTATGCAACGGCTCGCAAAGCAGTGTTTCTTGTATTGATTTTTAACGCATTTTTTTGCCCTTCTATTTCCCTTTGAAGAACTACTCCATCCAAATACTCACAAAAAGTATGTCGAATCTTTCAATAACATAAATTTTAGAATTTTCTCATAAAAGATCGAAACATAGATAAAATATTTGACCTTTTAAAACTTTTAAAAGTTGTAAAAGTTAATTTGTCTTTAAGACAAATTACCAGTTCACATTAGGATTTCAAAATTCGTGACAAACAGCTACCGCTGCACGGAGAAAGGGTGTTTAGACATTGAGTCTTACTATTTTTGAGTGACTAATTTTACCATTTCCTGAGTTAGAAGTCTGGGTTGAGACTGAATGATTCACAATTTCACACTAAATTTGACAATTCTTGAGTAGAGAACACTCATGTTTCCAATAAAATCGGTTGACTTTTTAATTTTTTTGTCAAAGTATTATCAATAAGATTTAGGCATTGATAAAAGAGGAGGAAATCCTACTCTTAGAAAGAAAGAAAGGGAAATTTAGCTCTTCTGTGAGAATTCCCTCCGGGGAAATCCTACTCTGCATATTCATGGGGGGAGGGGGGGGGGGGGTGAGGGGTTGGCTATGGTGGAAATCCTACTCTACTCTATTCGCAGAAATTTTCTGGGAAATTTATTTTTTAAAAAGTGGTTAGTTTTTTTTAACATGGCTTTGTATGCATTATAGTGGTCTCTCCTTCCGATCCATTGTCTGATCCATGGCCTTCCTCTAAATCTTCTTCGCTGGTACAAATGCAATGGAAATGAAATTATCAAAATGCACATTAAAATAACTACATGTATATTCCTCTTCCATGGCTTCCATGTCGACAAAATTAAAAAAAAAACTCTGCTTCTTCAAAGAGGTGTTTTGTTTGTTTGAATAACAATAGAGTGGAATTAAAAACTTGTTTTACCATGTTCACATATGAGGAATATTATTACGTACAAAAGTTGTATACCACAAGTTGTATACGACATGTATTATTACCGTGTAATCCAGCCTCAAGGTTCCCAACACTATTGACATTGTTACTGCTACAATACACAGGTACTTGTGGACAAGACCCCCCCCCCCCCCCCGAATATACTCCACGGGTCAAAAAATATTTTTATGTATTTTTTCATAAATTATTCTTCTAGTACACATTTACAATGTATTCCATAAGAAAAACCCCAAAAATAACGCAGAATTAACGTTTTACTAAAAAATCATACCCGCGGTATTATAAAACAGAGAAGGTAAGTCAATTCCATTTGTTTACACTGGACCCCTCTTGGTTATCAGGCCCGAAATATCATTTTACCTAATACATGTTAACAAAATGTGTCATGATATCTTGTTTCAGTAGATATTTTTTGTCTTAATCGTGCTATTTAATTGTCCAGGCATTTCATAATAATACGACAATTCATCGTCAAACGTGAAAAATGCTACAAGATTTGGAAATGTCAAAGTAGAAATTATGGAAGTGATGCAAAAACGACACCTAGCGTGTAACTCTCGAGGTCCGAGTGTTATAGAATTGAGGGAAAAGCTAGAGGTCTACGAAAAAGTTCGGGAAAATTTTGATAAAGAAGTCGAAATTGATTCATTAGAATTTAATTCTGCTCCAGATTTTCGAGATGAGCGAGGGTTGTCGTCAATATTCCCTTTAAAGGATGTTATCACTGATACCAAATAGCGTTTTCAATGATTTACAATTATTTCAATGACCATTCACACAAAAGCTTTTTTTTTATATTCATGCAGCTATAATTGCCTAGCTCGTTTTTCTTTTTTAACATCGGGCTCGATGCTATATGATGTTCTAGAAGTTTCCGTCAATATTAAGATCGGTGAATGACGAAAATAATAAACTAGACTGAAGCTAGCAGCCAATAACAGCAGCCATTAAGCCCGTAGAAGCTAGCAGCCACTAAGGAAATTCATCAAAGGACTGAGAGTACTCTGACGCAATACTGTTTAATGCCTCATTTTCGACAATTTATAATTAATAATTAGATAATTAATGCAACACTTTATAATTTAATAATTCAAACACTTGGAGGCAGTTAAACTCACCTGCATAAGGAAAATAATGCGGTTTCACAACAAACAAAAAAAAAGAAGAAGAAAATGTCACCATCTTTTACCGCTTTAAGAATAAAACAGCATTGGAAATAGGTTAAGTACTTCCGGGAGAATCCCTTTTAAGCTCTTTTACGGGTCTCAGGAACATGATGGTGCCAAAAGGCTAACCTGAAATTTGCTTACTCCTAATATTTACATTGATAAGGGTTTGAAGGTAATTTAATCTATTTTAAGTTATGATCCTTGAAGTGTGCTTCGAACAATTACTGGCTCAAGGTAAAAGGGTCCACAGGGCTATTATATACGACCATAAAATTTAGGCTGAAGTGGTACCACCAAGTGGTGCCAGGGGCGGGTTACATATTTCAAGCAGCTATTATACCTCTTATCTTATAAGTGTGCTTTAAATCATTACTGTGGCAAGATAGAAGATTTCTAGGACTATCTTTCCCGCAATCGGTTTGAGGCTGTAACGGCACCACCAAGTGGTGCCAACGGTGGGGAACATCTTTCATGCTTTCATTTTTCAACCATCATTAACCACTAGAACAAACTAACACTAAACTGGAAAAAAGTTAAGGGACTTAGGGAGTTCCTTTGTCAACTTTTCGACAGATTCCAATGACTAGAAAAGGCCAGTTAGGTAACCTGAACTTTGTTGTTTTTCACTTTGTTTATTGATATACGATTAAAAGACAGATGTTATACCCCTTATCTTTGAAGTGTGCTTCAAATCATTACTG